TACAGTATAGTATACCCCCAAACCCTGTTCTAATTATCAAGGCCCCTATATTACAACTGTCTCCCGAAGACTTCGAACACAAACGAAACGAACACATGTATGTCAGTACGTCTGTGTGCGAGCAGGCATGCAGGCATGTAAGCATGTAGGTATGTAGGCCATATGTATAGTATATATATATATGCAAGCATATATATATATATGTGTGTGTGTGTATATGTATGCAGGTATGTGTATATGCGTATGCATGGGTATGCGTGTAGGTATATGTTGTGCATAGATGTGTATACTTGCCTTTACATATACCGGTACAAAGCCTCGTCAAGTTTCTCGTGTTCGCATTTTTCCCCGGTTCCGGCATTAATACAGCTGTGCCGAGCTGCTGTGTGTACACACATAGGGACCTTATATATATATATATATATGTATATAGATAGATATGTATGTATGCATCCAGGCATGCATGTATGCACACACACACACATGCACACATGCGTACACGCACATACCATGAATACATGCGGCTACTATAGTACACACATTAGTATACATCATATATTCATTCTAGCCCCGCCCTTGCTCTAAAACTCCTTCTCTCATCCCAAACAGAGCGGTACAACCAGTATACGTTGTACCGGACAACTGCAAGATCCAAGAATCCACGATTGTTGGAGCGCCTTCAGGGGCATTAAAATGGAGGACAAACGTTGAACAGCTCAACATAGCTATGGCTAGCTTGTGTTTTGGACAGCTTCGTGAAGTCGCGGCTTTAGGTTTACATATTATGTATGGTGGATGCACGTGCACACACGTGCATGCATACAGAAAACCATAACCGATTACAGGAACATGCTAGCATGCTTCACTTGCTGGGTTGGGGGAAAAAGATGCGTGTGGCATGGCAACTTCTTTCCAGGTGCTGTGCCCTTGCACATTCCTGGGGCTCGGAACTTGAACTTGACCTATAGCTCCTCCATCCGACCCTCGCAGTGACTTATGGCACCCCTCCTCTTTGATGCCCTGGCCTCAACAGTGTGCAAACAAAAATACTGCGAAACAACTTGTCGAAAAACACGCACCATGCGAAGTCCGGCGGCATCTGGAAGAAGATGGTGAGGCTGTATTCCTGATCCAAGTCCACCAGTGTACTTCAAACATACTAGATGGGGCATCGGGATTGAATTTGCTGTTAGCCGACCGTTGGATGTTACAGTTCCCGCAGCGAAACTTGATTGGGCTGGGCCTGCCCTTTCCATGCCCGGCTTTGACTGCTGAGACGTGTGATGTCCTTTAGCGCCCAAGTTCTTAGTGGCATTAAGAATTCCCAACTGTTCGGAAGCCGCCCTGCCACGATCCTTCCAAAATAAATTCAGCCGGCTTTTGCGATGGCAAGAAGCCCCATCTGCACCCCAAAGCCTTCTTGCACTTCATCCGTTCTCAACGGTCATGCAAGCTTGTGGTGGTAGGGAGAAAAGGAGGAGGCAGAGGAGGAGGAGGAGGAGGAGTGGCAACAGTACCAGTTTCACCCTATCGGATAGAGCTGATCACATCACTATGCATGACCCATCGAGATCAAGTGCGAGTACTACCGGACTAGGCATAGCCACCACCATCATGATCATCATCCTAAGCACTGAACCCTAGAGCTTGAGGCCCTAAGCGAATCCCACACCGATCAAGGCAAAAAGAACAGGCCTCCAAGGCAGGTCGCAGCCCCCCCAGGCTGGCAAGGCCAACAGGGAGTGGCACCGAGAGCGAGCAGCCCGCCTCAGCACCACGCACCCTCCCAGTTGAAGGTAAGTACGTAGAGCTACAAACATTGCAAACATAATTTCATTTCTTCACGAAACTCTCGTCTGTACTTAACGTGGGGCTGACGGGGCTTCAATTGGGATTTTGGTTGCGCGGACTGTACTAACTGCTGTTTAATGTTTAAGTAGAAGAACGTGACCCAACTGCCCAAATACTCATGTGTAGTTGCAGGAGCCTCTCCGTCAACATATGCAAAGACCTCTATATAAGATGTCTTGTGAACCACCTTGGACTAATTTGCAAGCTTAGGCAATCTCTGTGGACAGTTTTGCTGCGCGGACACAGCACACGGTAAGCTTGCATCCTTAACGCAGCCTACATTGCTGGTACATGATTCCGTTCATGCGCCGTTTTCAAACACCTTTTCGGAACACGCCGGCACCTGTGCACTAGTCTCTGCTAGAGACGACCCCCAGCAGAGCGACGACCCCAGCAGCGGCTAGGCCTAGCCCAAAGTAAGAGTAATCATAGTCGTAGTAAAAGTCACAACAATAAAACAATTCCGATGCTCATGGTCATTCTAAGTAACTTTCGAAAGGCAATGAGCAATGCAAAAATTGCAATATGCAGCTGCTATCTGAAATCTGCTTCGATGATTTCGATGTACAGTCCGATGACCAAACCCTGTGCCTCGCCTGCAGGATGCAGCGCTTCCGTCCAGGAACCAGGGAGTCCGGGTCGATCTCGAAATCAAAACCTGTTCGCCGGGTCGGGGCCACATTCTGAGGTTTGGGAGCTTGGGACGGTCTGGGGTTGTGTGGTTGAAGCGAGCGGCCTTAATAATTAGAATAGGGTTTTGGGGCCCATTATACTATAGGTGTATAAGAAGGAGCCCCCAAAATAGTATAGGTAATCATTACTGTAAGGCCCCTATATTACGTGGGCTAGAGCAGGTCTTCTTGGGTTCAGGGTGTAGATCTGACCTGATGCGGCAAAGTTGCAAGCGTCCGTCGCTGGAATGTAGGGGCCTAAATAATTACCAATACTATTTTCGGGGTTCCTTATTGTAATTATAGTATTTATAAGGGGCCTCGCAACCCTATTCTAATTATTTAGGCCACTATATTACACAGCACAACTCCTTGACGCAAAATGTTTACGGCACTGTCTTATACCATTTGACTCTGGACCATAAACGAGCTGCTCGGGCAACCGGGTTGGGAGTATGGTATCGTCCGTGTTCATGCTAGGCCAGGTTTTGGTGCTTGTTACTATTCATTCATGCTTGCATTACTGTTGCTTATATGTTATTGTTCGTAACTAACTGTTAGTATGATTATAGTTATTTACTTTGTATCATTGTATGACTATTAGTATTACAACTACTGTTGCTCCCATTACAATTGTTGCTAGTATTTCGTGTACTCTTATGGTTTTCATGATAGTATTATGGTTCTTCTTATTGTTGCTATTAACCTTACTATTGTTGAGAGGCTTTCCTTGGGTGCGCGTGCACTGCATTTGCACCACTTGCAAAAGAAACGCCTCTCACCCCCATTCCCACCCTAAGACCCCTTCATGTCCAAAACCTCCCTAAGGCCAGCGCGCTGGGGCGGTGTGGTGAAGGCCCCGTGGGGAAGCCGCGAGCGCTGGAAACTCCATTCTGCCCCGGTGCCGGCCTCCGCACAGTCGCTTGATCGACGAAGGTCTGCGGAAATGTAAATGTTATATGGTTCGGTTCATGCACCGCCACTAGCACAATCCGACGACGACCACCCCGACGACCACGACCATGGCTGCTGCCACTGCTACTGCTACCCTGCTACCCCCGTCCCACTCCCCGGCACGCCTCGGAGAGCGTGGGGTTGGGGCCGAGGGTGCGCTCTTCCTCGGCATCCTGCTTTTCCTCAAGAGCTGCGGGTTTGGTTTGGGTTTACGGCGTGTACGGCGTGCGGTTTGGGGGGGTTTAGGGTTCCCAAACCCTCAGCCTGCATCCTCCACACGACTCCCATGAACAAACACTCGTGCAAGCAGCTGCAAACACGGGAGGCCTCGATCGCTCGTATTTCCTCCGTGTACCTCTGCGCATGCGCTTCCTGACGTCAGGGCAACCGGACAGGGATCGCGGGAAGGCGGGACATCTGCAAGGGCAAATTCCTTGGGTGGGGTGTTTTGAATGGCCCACTTGTAGCGACGATGAAAGCGCTGTAGGATTGCTGAGGTTTGTGCACTGCATGCAATGCCTCGGAAGGTCTGGGTAACGCCGTTTGTGACTTGTGACTATGAGTTCTCTGGTAGCCAGGATCACTGTGCAAGACTCAGCTCTCCAACTGAAAGTGTGCAAACTGCCCCGTAGCCGCAGCGCGACAATCACGACTCCACAAAAGACTGCTCCATCGATCCACGCCACACTATACCGTCTATAACCTGCAAGAACACCGTACCTCGAAGCCCGCAGCCACCCGTAATTGTGCACAGACCAAGACCTGAACCTGCAAGCCGTCCATGATATAGCCTCACCCGAAACTCTAAACTGAACCCCTAAACCCCTGAATGCCAAACCCTCACGGCTCGACGCCTGAAAGCTTGGGTCTACTCCGTCCACCCGGCCTCGGTACTTCGAACCCGTTCGGCGAAAGCCTTCTTCGCCAATTCCAGCTCCTGAACGGTCTACAGCGAACCCCAGAAAGTTGGAACATGGATTTAAGATGATTAGTGCCAGGATCCCGTCTATTTTGCCTGAAGGGTACCAGGACACTGATGTGCCAACTTTCTGGCTTCTACTTTATGGTCAAGGAGAACTATTGCTGGTAGATGTGTGTGTGTGTGTGTTATATACATATGATTCCACCTATGATAGTGTGATGTAATGACAGACTACAGTATACTACAATGCAAGTCTTTAACATGTGATGAAAAAGCTCAATTAAACCCTTTACAACCATGCACTGTAATGAATACACTGAGGTACCATATCCCACTATTTAAGGTGGCACAACAAAGCGTAACATAAAATAGCGCAGCAGAGCATCATACAACCCAACATATCATAATGTATCACAGCATAGATAACATAACATGCCATGGCATATCAGAGCAAACATAGCATTAGACACCATAAAATGACATATGCGGACACAGCACAACCTGAAAAAAACTCACACAACACAACACACACAACAACATATTCAACATATCATGTTGCGAACATGACATAATATGAGCATTGCATGGGTTATGCTGGCACTGACGCTGTGGTAATTATTGCTGATGTTAAAGACAAAGGTAGGGCAATGCTGAAGGGCATGGTGGTGGTCGTGGTCATGGGAGTGATGGACAATGACCATTATCTTCACCACCATCCTTTTCAACTGAATTCCCCTGTTTCTCACCTTTGCAGTTACATTGCGCTGAAGTATTGTTGCTTGGCCTTGATACGGCACATGTCCTTGATTCCGCAACACCTCAAGACTGAGCTCTAAACCCTATACAACCAAACAGTAAACTTCTCAAAGGCCTGTAATTTGTAAGCACGAGCTTGCGAGCCTCCTTGAACCGAGGCTCTGCAAACAGCAGCGAGGTTGCCTGAAAGAAACATGCTCAAAACTCAGATTCAGAGGTCACGGCCCTCTGTACCGCACTGAGGCGTGAGGAGGTTCTTGGGGCCCAAATGCTTTCAACATTAGCTTTTGATTGTCTTCGTAAGAGAAAGAGGAACGCTGCAGGACCATACTATATCTGCGCGAAAATCACGCGAATCAGCAATTTGTGAATCACGTGACGCCAGCTTCTTGAGCTAGAGCTTCTGCAAGCAGCTTCCTACGGCGGACATGCGACACATTTTGCGGATGGTATGATGTTAGTATAGCACATTGCAGACTCTTGTCCGCATTTGTACATGCAAGACTCTAGACTCTAGCCTGGACGAATGATTGAATGATATGTTTGAGCGATGCTCTTGTGAACGCAGAATCGGTCGGGCTGGCTGCCTGGAAGGATGTGACCCGCCCAAGTTGCGGTGGTGTCGCAGAGACCGTTCCTCCTCACGTCAGCGCATGACTGCCTAACGGTGGAAAGACCCACTAGTAACAAACTTTGCATGTGCTTACTAAATACGAAGACCCAGCGAACCAACTCCAAAGCAAATGTAATCGCTGTCTCGTCTGCTTTCCCTATATTCCTCCTCTTCTTCTTCACCCTCATGAAATCAGCTCATCTTGCAGGAACTGCGCGAAGCCAAAGGCTTCCAAGCAGCAATTCTTTCCTGGACTGGGACCTCCGACAGCCCTCTCCTATCGGAGGGAAATCCTGTAGAGTCAGATCGCAAGTAAAGTTTAGGGTTTAGGGTTCAGGTATGCATCACCGCCACGAATTCCGGGGAAGACAACGGCAGCACAGGCATCTTCGATAGAGCAATCAGATCAATAATCGTACCCTCCTATCACCACCGACCAACACCACCACCACGACCACCATCACCATCCCATATGCTGTCCTATGCTGTAATATCCCAAACTATACTTTTTCTGCTAGGCTACGTACATTATACCCTCTGATCATATCTGCCCCCTCCGCACCCTCATCTTCATCTTAACCCTAAAACCTAAACTTGCAAATGGACCAAGCAAGTAACGAAGGAAGGCCTCGCTGAAGTGACGGCCCGGGAACCCCGGAGGAAAGACGCCTGGGCATCTCAGCGCCAACTGCAAGCCCAGACACTCTAGTGCTTCAGGGCTTTGGGGCCTAGAGTTTGGGATTAATTATAGGTGTTGTGTAGAAACTATTGGATGACGTGCTGGCCTCAACAAGTCCCAGGAGGCAGCGACGAATCGACTCAGCCTAGTCATCTCAAGACGCGAAGCAACTTAAACGCGAAGCCGGTTGTAGCAAGGATAGAGAATGTAGCGGACATGCAGAGACGTTCAGGTTGTCGCCTAGACTGCCCCTAGCTGCCTAATTCACAAATGCCGAACCGGAATATCTGCGCTGTCAGGAGAAGGGCCACAGAACAAATCGCGTGTGCACTCTTGTAATGGTTGTGACACTTAAAGAAGCTATGCTTACTGCTACTAGTTTTCTTGTGATTCCTCTTGGTGTTCTTGCGAGCAAACATGTGATTTGCTCGGGGTCGGCACTGTTTTGGCTAAGACTGTAGATGTAGACACTACGATCACGGCTGCTACGGTACAGCTACTAATCCTACCATCGTGGTGGTTCTCAACTTTGTGGCTTTTACTGACCCAACTATTCTCGTTACAACTATCATATTGCTGTCGCCACCGTCATGCTTCTTGCCGCAGATTGTATGCGTTTGTGCGTGTTCCTAGCCTGTATATTGACTTGCTGGAGCACTCGCCCGACTGATTTCTAGACCTCAAGCACAACTGTATCCAAGCCGCGCGAGGTCTGGCGGCTGCAGGGGAATCGTCAGCACGTTGCCCTGCACCGGCGGATGAATGGTCCAGGCACGTCTTGACTTCGAGGGGCCGTTTGCATCCCTGCATGTAACAACTAAAACCTGGGCGGGCACACCAGACCTACCGGCATCTCTGGAGTTGCTGACCATTGCCGACCGCTTCGTCTGCTGAGTAAACAACTAATTTTAAACAGCCCCTCTGACTAACTCGCGGAACCCGCAGCTCAGGTGGCGGTGTTCCAAGATCATCTGGCCAACTAACACGAATTAGTCCAGCCTAAGTTGCTTACCACCAGAACAAGCCACCTACTCCATGACAACCAACCATGCGTTTAGACCATTTCCATATCAACGTCGTGTCCAAGATGGGGCCTTGCGGCTCAGCGGCTCAAACAGTCATATTCTATTTCACGGCAGCAAAGTCAGCAACCCATGCGCTGCCCGCGCAGAGAGAATTCAGGAATAGCCCGGCCTCCGAGATCTCGAACCCCCACCACCAAGACAGAATTGAACAATGCTGCACGACAACCAACAATAACATGTCCAAGCTCTGAAAGCACGGCTAGGGTCTGTGGATATCTGCATAAGTGAGCTGCCATCGTTCGTTTAGCGGAAGATAGTGGAAGTAAGCTTCCCACACTTGAGGAAGGTGAACTAAAAGGACCTCGAGTTCGACAACCAATCAGGACTTCCTTTAGTTTCGGCTACCAGAAGGCCTCTGGAACACTCGGCGACACCGGAGAAGTCTGGCGGTATAGCGGCACAGGGCTTGCGCTTGGCGTGTCAGCGGAGAGAACACCTGAATCTGAAGCAAAGATTGCATAGAAAGTTAGGCCAGTGCTCAGCATCACTGCGGTGGTGGCGGTGGTCGTGTTGGGGCGATGGTGTTGATGGTGGTGGTGGCGGTCGTGTTGGGGTGATGGTGATGGTGGTGGTGGCGGTCGTGGTGGGTGGGGCGATGGTGGCGGTACTGCTGCTGCTGCTGCTGCTGCTGCTGCTGCTGGCGTAGTAGTAGCAGCAGCAGTCGCGATAGTAGTGGTAGTAGTACTAGTAGTAGTAGTAGTAGTAGTAGTAGGAGGAGGAGTAGTAGGAGTAGCAGTAGTAGTAGAAGTAGTGGTAGTAGTAGTAGTAGTAGTAGTAGTAGTA